TATTACATTAATGCCAGTAGCTTCGCAGACTCTATTGACAAAATTGAAATAAATGGATAATGAGCTTTTAACCTTAACTAAGAGCAAATAAGATTTTAATTAAAAAAATATCTGTTTGTGATAGCTTAAGTAGCATCTAGGCGACAGAGCTTCGCTCGGTGTTTTTTGGAAAAGATACAAAAATTGCGGTTTTTCAGAAAATACACTTATATATAGATAACCTAAAAAGCAAAACCTTATCTAAATATACAACATTTTATCCAAATCGTTAGATCCGTTTCTAAAATACACAAAATAAATCTATATATTACTAGCAGAACCTGTGGCTCGCAAAAAACCACGTCAATCCGTCACTCCGTTTCGACGTGAAAGAAAGACAAACAAACAAACAAACACACTTTCACATTTATAATATTAGTATGGATATAAAAAAATTGCTCATTTAATATTATAAGATATAATTTGTATACTATATTTAGCGGACTTCAAAAACAAGTTTTTTCATTAGGCTTTTTGTGTCTTGTTTTAATATTAGTCTTTAATGCATTTATTTAAAGGAATTAGAAAAACTGTATTACAATAATAAACTGGAAAGTAATTTCAGAAATCCAAATATATCAATACCGTATATTTTATTAGATTTCCATCCCTAAACGATTGTAAAATGTCAACTTATCTAAAGCCTTTGGGTCGTTTAGACGTCTACTTGTGCTCTCTTCAGGTCATCGTTGATATAAGACAACCAGATAAAAACTATTCCTTGCTTTCTCAAAACTAAAGTTTTAAACATAAATTTGCCTGTTCATATGATTTTTAGGCCATACATTTTTTATGTATTTTACATCTCATATCTTTACCGATTGCTATCTGACTTTAGTGTTTATTATTTTATTCAACAGCCTAACTTTAAGGGAGGTCATATTTAAAGTAAAGAAAATTCGGGCCTTAAATAGATAAGAGGTGACATGTTAGGTTTTTGTACAATTAATTCAATTTTTATGTTAAAATTCATTTAATTACTTGAAAATAAAACAATTAATTAAATGTTTAAAATCAAACAGCACCTGTTGATTTATTTAAATAAAATACGTATTTTGTTATTTGCGTACTAAATTATGTATCCATTTAATGTAAATAATTGCTGATCTGTTCGGCCTTTTCAATGAAACTAAAAATGTTCCATTTAGTAAATTTATTAATTTATGACCAAAGCAAATGTGGTACTTATCAATCATTCGACACGTTTGGCTCAGTTTGTAATGATCCTACTCGCTGTGCCAGCGGTCGCGGGTTCGTATCCCGCTAGCCGCTACGTGCATTTGTGTGATGAGCACGAATGTTTGTGCTCCAGTCATGGGTATATTTATAATATGTATGTATTTAAAGTCTTATATGTGTAGTGTATCAACTATCTGGTATCCTAATAGAGGTCTCGTAGCTTAACATGGAACGAGATGGTTCTGTGTGTTCATTTCTTATTTACTTATTTACAATTTTGATTAAATTAAAAATAGCATACTATATATTAAGAAAATATTAATTTATGCATACATATTATAAGATAACGTGTCTATTTTTGTCTTCACCATATGTGTCATCATTATAAAAATAGATTTTCAGCGCTAAAGGTCTAAGATCATTGTGTGACATAGATAGCCTATAAATCTTCCATAATAAATAAAAAAATTAAATAACAATGGTACTTAACTCCATTACCGCGTTCAAATGAACAAAACAATTTGACTGAAATCCACTATTTTGCTTTTTATTAATATCGATACAGCCTATAATACTCGCGTTATCAAGACGAATCTAACGACGTGTGAATAATTAAAATCGGTTAACTCGTTTAGTAAATACGAGGGAACATAGGGTCGGACATACATACATATGTGCATACATACAGGTCAAACACATAGCCCATGCTTTGAGCTTAGCCGCAGCCGGGTAATAGACAACCACTTCAGCGTTATTATATTACTAGCGACTCACCCTCGCTTCGCTCGGGTTCGTCCCTAGCTTAATTCCCCATACAAACTCTCACCCCCATTTTGAATCCCTTAAAGGATGATTTCCGGGATAAAAAGTATTCTATGTCCTTCCCAAGATCTCAATCTATCTTCTTACCAAATTTTATTTAGATCGGTTCAGTAGATCCAGAGATTATCCCCTATTATTACTCACAATCTCACAAACTTTACCTCTTTATAATATGAGAATAGATTATTAAATATATAGATATAATCAATATAGATGTAATATTTGTAAAAAAAAATATGAAAACCTCTGAATGCATTTGCAATCCGAACTGTCACAAGAGTACAGTCAGCTTAGCTGATATATATCGCAATACATAAAACGCAGTATGGCAGGTTAGATGAAATTGTGATTGCAAAAATAAAGTAAAATATACTCAGATAGTTAGGTATGTAGAAAAAATGGTGGAAAAGGATGGCATATCAAAACAATTACTTACATTTCTGTATCTACTGTCGTTTAAAAACAAAATATAGGTAGTAGGTAGGTACATATATAAAATTACGACATGAGTGTTTGTAGTTCTTCTCCTCCTAAACGTCTTAACCGATTTTGTTAAAAAAATGGCAATGCGATGTTCCTCCAGCCCTCCGGTAGCTAGCGCTGTTGTTGAAATCCATATATACATATTTTTTAAACATTTTAAATCGAAATTTGGTCTATTTTATGTTTCAACTTTCAAAAATATGTTTATTCTCTGCCTACACCTGTTCTCGCTAGCGCACTTCTGCGCAAGTTAAATTCACTAATAGCATTTCTATAGTCAATTTTTTTATTTCTCCAATTTACTATTAATACTTTACAATTAGACCACTTTAGCTTTATTAAAGATGTTTTTTAAAGAAGAAAAAAACATTTAAATAAAGTTTGTATAAAATATCGTTTTTTAATGTTAATAATTTCTAAATATATAATATATTCATACTTATCAGTAGATACTCATATTGTGTTGCGGTCATGGGTTTTACTGTTATAGAAAAACGTTTGTATTGACGTTAGTCTGGTTTTAAATTTATCAAGTTTCGTCATCTAGAATTAGAGGTTTTAGAACTTTTAGTCTTTTAGTCGCCTTCTCTTTCTCTCTCTCTCTCTCTCTTTATCTGACTTAAAATATGTTAATACTGGATTTAAAATAAGAACAATTTGGTTTGGTTTTAAAAATAAAACAGTCAATTCTTTTAATATTCCTTTATTACAAATTCATAATAAAAATATAAATTATAAACTACATCTATATGAAGCATATGTAACCAGAACATATGAATATAGCTAAATAAAATAAATGTATTTCAACATACGAATGGAATGTAATTATTAGAAAATCGATTTTTTTTGGAAATTCAATTTTACCTAATACATTCAATATAGCAAAATCGAATTAAAAATCAATAATTTTATATATTCCCTTCAGGACTGCGGACACGCCGGCGTGTCAGTTAACAATAAATTTCTTAGAATTTTAATTAAGTTCTTAGAAATTTACCTGGAGGTGATAAACAATCGATTAAAACAAATAATAAAATTTCGACAAATCGATTTTAGAATACCACATTTATTCAAATAAACATGTCGTTTTGCCTTTTACGTTTTAATTACTTCACTATAGATACCATATCTATTAAATTAGATACTCCTTAATATTCATAATTTGTATAATACTTGTCATTTCTTATACCTACTTAACATCGATCAAAAAAGTACTAGATACAAAATACCATACAAAAGTCCTTTTAAAACTGTCACCAATTGTGTTCAGATAATTATTCGAGTTGAAATAAATATACAACAATGTAAATTGAACCTTCAATGCTATGCTTAAAGATGTTTTCACAAAAAAAATTAGAACCGCGCTCATTCGGTGAGGAAATTTTTTGTCGCTGATTATATATCTAGTACTTTTTTAATCGATGCTACTTAATAAATAAAGGCACTATGGTTTTTTAATTGAGGAATTAGCATGTGCTTGTTTGTCATTCTGAATAATACTAAAAATAGAGATTCCAAAAAAAATATATTAAAAAAAAACACAATTTATGCCGTATCTATAAAAACATGAATCTTTGACAAAATTAATAAATATATTAATAAATCGTCGGGCTAATTCGTTACCCTACTAAGTGTATTCCGGCGTAGTTTACAGGATGAAGAAAAAACTGAATTATATAACTTCATTTTTAGATATCAAAATTCTTAAAATACCGTTGGTTCACAGTGGTTGGATATCGTCGCCATTCGCCAGTCGCCATTAACACAATGCAGGTAATCGTCTGAGCTTTTTGACCGGCATAAAAAGTTAAATTGCTCAAAAACGGACTTAGTAGGTTAACGATTTACGCCGACGACAAATAAACAGTCACAGATTAATTACTAGAAGCACCAAATAGGAAAAGTACAATAATAGCAATATGTGAAAAACATGACCTAACAAAACTCATATTAAAATCAGGGCTCGAAAACCTGTTCAATTTTTAAACTAATCTTGGTTTAAACAAACCGAAAGGTTTCGGTTATGTTCTTTAATCGGCTAAAATGATGATTTTTGTGCGTTTATATTTGGCGAATCTTTCCAAATTGTTTAGTATAAGAATATATACGTTTCTGGAATCAACCGTTTTATTTCAGTATCAAAACTTACGCTTAATCTTTCTGCAAGAATAACCTTTAACTATCATTATTTCGTATAAAACCGTTCGTTTTTATCAACCGATTATTTGAACGAACGATGATTTAACCATTGCATTAACGAAATTAACCGTTTTTTAAAACCGAGCCCTGATCAAAACAAATCTCTATTTATATTGAAAATTAAAATTACATTCATCATAACATGTCAAAAACAAAAATGTCATTCAACAACATTAGTAATAAACAATACCAATAATAATTATGTAAAAAATACGAAAGTATCATAGATTAAGCAATCAGATACGCCTTTAATATAATATAAATAAATATATAACTTAGTTTAGATCTTGATGCCTCTGTGCGGCTTGGAAAGTGTTATGCATTAGCATTGCCACCGTCATTGGCCCTACGCCTCCCGGTACTGGAGTTATTGCACCTGCCACTTTGACTACCTCTGAGAGGACAAATAATTTTTTGTTATAAGGTATCTTTCGAATAATTTAACAATAAAATTACTTAAACCCCTCTTGGGTTTAAGTAATTTAAATTGTTTTCTTGTTTTATATAATACTTGCTTTAAACTTTAAATATTTTAATAATAATAATCCTCTTTATTGTACACCTAACTGAAAATACAGACAGTAATTAAAAATAGACAAATAAGATGCACAGTAGGCGGCCTTATTGCTAAAGTGATCTGTTCCAGGCAACCAACTACCAGGTAAATGAGAGTGTATGAAAACGGTAGGCGGTGTACTTAAATTGTTACTGTGTTTCAATATTTGAACATTGTAAAAGATGCATTTATATGTAAATTAATAACATATATAAGATATAAGCTGAATCTATAAGCCATTATAGAAAAATAAAATAGATAAAAAAGATAAGTTAAATTGGAAAATAACATTTACATATAACTATAATGTCTGTATGTATTGTTTAACCTTTTGAAATTGAATTTTCAAGAAATATTATCTTGAATACATAATATATCAAGTATTACCATATTAAAAAAACAGGTTATATCTACTAAATAATTGCAATTGCATATAAATATGTATATATTTATGTAATTTTAATAACTTACCCTCATAATCGACGTCTCCGACCAATTTCGTTTTTCCTTCCTCATCTGTTATCCGTGTGATCCCAACGTCTATCACTGTAGCGCCAGGCTTGATCATATTCGCTTTTATAAGCTTCGGTACACCTAAGAAGATTAAAAAGTAAAAAAATATAAAATCATTTTTACAAACAATCTTTTACCATAATGTCTTCCCGCAATAAGAAATATACGAGTACTTAGATTATAATTAAAAAGCGTATGTATTTAAAATAATGACGATTGTTTCAAAATCATTGAAAAATAGTTATAAATGAAAAAAATAATATTCTGTATCATCGAAATATAAAGTTTCTAACTTAAATATTTTACGCAGTGATACGTAAAAATCTTAATTAAGTTACCAATATTTTAAATTATACAATAAAAATTAAAAATAGTTTAAAAATAGCAAAAATTACATAATCAAGCTCATAATATAAAAAAAAACACCTAGGTATAAGTCCTTATAGATGAAAAAACGTGTGTGGTGTACTTATGTACGCACGTAAGAAGTTACACTTCTTTAGCGTGACAGAACAACAATAGCTAAAGATATTATGTGACAACTCTGTTTGTAAAAGGAATGCAGCTAACTTCATCATGTCGCTTTTTGGCTGTCGGTCCCAAAAGAAGTATAACTTCAAAAACACCTTGATAAAAGTCCTTATAGATAAAAAAAAAACATACCGGTAGCCGACACGATGATATCGGCATTACGGCAATGTATCTCTAACTGCTCGGGAGGCGTGTATCTATGACATATTGTCACTGTTGCGTCCATTCCTAAGCCGCTGTCATGATTCTTGTCACTGTGTAACATCATGGCTATCGGCATACCTACGTTCTTAGACCGTCCCACTACCACCGCGTTACGTCCATATGTCTGGATTTTGAACCTAGATAGAACATTATGGGTTAATTCAGTCTTAAAAATGATCTCGATCTTACTAATATTATAAATGTAAAAGTTTAAATGGATGTTTGTTACTCAATCACGACAGAACGGCTGAACGGATCTGGATGAAATTTGGCACAGAGATAGATTATAATCTGGAATAGCACATAGGCTTTTTTCCCGGAAAACTACGGTTCCCGTGGGATTTAGTTTTGTTTTTCAAGAGGCGCACCCGAAAAATCCCGAAAAATAAAAATGACAGTCTCAAAATCTATTTTAATGTTAGTTTAAGGTGTAAAATTATCTTACGCACGTTTTCAACTCGGGTTTGAAACCGCTTCACTTAGTTTCCAAAGCGTGCATGCTACCAATGCGCTACCAGTTATATGACGATAACACATACGTAATACACAAAACTATATGATATTTCCCCCTTATCATTATCTCAGGAATTGTAAATGACGACACTTTAATAAAGATAAAAATAAAGTGTTTACTATAAATGAATCAATTACAAAAAAAACTTATGACGCGAATAGTTTATCAGTCTTGATAGCAAATAAGCAACACTGTTCCAATTTTTATCTTAACTTATTTCCTATTACATCATACTTTTGTTACATAAATCCATACTAATGTTGGTAAACTAGCGACTCACCCTCGCTTCGCTCGGGTTCGTCCCTAGCTTGATTACCCATACAAAATCTCACCCCCATTTTGAATCCCTTAAAGGATGATTTCCGGGATAAAAAGTATCCTATGTGCCCTTCCCGGGGTCTCAAACTATCTTCTTACCAAATTTTATCTAAATCGGTTCAGTAGATTCAGAGATTACCCCCTACAATGTCACAAATTCACAATCTCACAAACTTTACCTTTTTATAATATTAGTATAGATATGAAAGTTCGTAAGGATGGATGGAGGTTTGTTACTCAATCACGCCAGAACGGCTAAACGGATCTGAATAAAATGTATTTTATTGGATTCTATTATAACGTGTTTTCCCTTGGGAATTAGATAATCTCCGCCATAAAAAGTAGCCTATGTCACTCTCCAGCCCTCCAACTATCTGCACACAAAAATTCACGCCAATCCGTCACTCCGTTTCAACGTGAAAGAAGGACAAAAAACAAACAAACACACTTTCACATTTATAATATTAGTATAGATGTAAAAGTACGTCCTTTGCATTTAATCTTTATATTACAAAAATACTGCTAAAGAAATGTAATGAAATTCGACACAAGATATATGGATATAAGTTATTATATTATAAAGATGGAAATAAGTTAATTTAATTCCAGTAAAAGACAGTTTTACTTTAATAGCACAATAAAAATTGAAATAGTATTAAGTAAAAATAAATAATTAATCTCACCTTTTAAGCATTTCTATAACGGCAAGGGCAGTGGCCGGTACAATTGTTGGCATATCCAGACACAGTTGCCCCACATTCGTTATATGAAAGCCATCCACATCTTTTTCTGGAGCAATTGCATTACACACTTTCCTCTCATCCATCCCGTTAGGTAACGGTAATTGCACTAATATACCGTCAACATCCTTATTGTTATTTAAAGTTTCAATTTCTGTTAGTAATTCATTTTCTGTTAATGTCTCTTGATATTTTATAGTCTGTGCAGCAATACCAACTTCTGTCGCGGCTTGAATTTTATATTTCACATAAGTATGGCTGGCCGGATCATCACCAACAATTATACAGCATATAGACGGAGATCTATAACCCATCTTAACCCAATCAGAAATTTTAATCTTCAATTCTCCTTGGATCTCTTTCGCTAAGCCTTTGCCATCAAGGATTTGTGCCATTATTCTGTTTCAAACAACAAACAAATTAACACTAAATATAATAAAACATGTAAATAAAAAATATGTAAGCACAACAAAAACTAAAAACCTAAGCAGTAAAAAGCTAAAAACACCTAAGTTTATTGACACAAAAGAAAAACCGAGGTATTATTTTTTTACCTGGGCACACCCATGGAATCAAAGTATGTGAGACTTCTCATTTTGGTATTCAGTAGTGAACTGACTATACGAGAACATATGCTTTGCCTCATCGCCTACTGTTGACGTACATAGGTCATTAGTTCAAATGTGAAACAAGATAATGATTTACTAACAAGGAATAAAACATAAAAAAACAAACTTAATACCGTTAATCTATAAATATTGAGTTAAGCCTGCTTTTTAGCTGTTAAGGGCACAAATTGTCAGTTGTAATTAAAGGTTATGGAATAAATTTAGTATCAAGTAATTACTCCTGGTATTATCCACAGGTAATTCTTAAAAAAAATTAATTACCTATGATAAATTAACCTACTTATTTGGTATCACATATGCAATAAACTGAAATTAAAAATAAAACTTGTTAAGTATATACTAACTTTATTTTTCATATTTTTAATTTTACAGTAAGTAACTAAGTAACCAGTAGGCAAAAGGAGAGACAAAAGCACATATTTATTTACAGTTTGTCATTTTTTAATATTCATTTTCAATACTTGTACAAGACAAACAAAAAAAAATTGTTCAAGCACAAAGTATGTAGTTAACAATACCTTTGCATAGATGGTTGAATTACTGTCAGGTCATTTAAAACATCTATTCATTGATCATCATTTAAACATGGATTGTGTATGTTTGAAGAAATTCATAATAAAGCGATTGTTAATTTGTTATGAATTATTTGCAATATTAAATAATATGTTTAAATTCTAAGTACAAACAACCTTGAAAAATTGAATAATACTTATGCAAGACCAATATCATTGGAATGAATTTGTTTAGACAAAAATTACCATTATGAATATGACTTTTAGGTTATTTTAATTAAGATTTCATTGAGTAATATCGATTTTCGCAATATTATAACATAATTTACTAATATTAATATAACGTGCCGTATTTTGAAATAATAGACAGATCGGAAATAGGTGTGTGTTGGTGTAGTAAAAGCGAAGTCTCACATTAATTTGTTGACCTCAAGATAACCTACAAATCTGATGTAACACATTGTGAGGAATTCTTTGCTAGAAAATATTTAGACTTACATTCTTAGTTCAGTGAACGCCGTAATCAAACTATGTTATCACTTTCAGTTTATGAAATCAAAATAAAAATTTAAGTCACCTATGTTTACGAATGAAACGTCAATTAAATGACATTAATGCCATTTGCCAAATGAAATTTTTTGTTATGTGTTGCCTTTTTATAATGTGTCATTTGACATTTCCATTCTACGCTACATTGGCGAAGTAATTTGTGCCCAAATAGCACTCTTGGAAGCCACGAAACAAAAATTTTTTTTTAGTAAATAACGGTATGTATTAAATCTCATGTAAATAATAGTAACGGCCATAATAAAATGTACAGTTTTTTGAAGTTATACTTCTTTTGGCGCATCTGGAAAAAATTATGAGAGTAAAATTTTTATGATGCGCGCGCACACCGCCAGCCAAAAAGCGACATGATGAAGTTAGATGAAGGGATCATAATGAAGTTAGCCAGCCTTATTTAATTATTTTATTAATTTAATAATTCCTTTTCCAAACAGAGAGTTGTGACATACGGGATGAAATTTTTACATATTTTTGTTCTGTTACACCAAAGAAGTTTAACTTCCTACGTGCGTACATATGTACAAACGCACGTTTTATTTTTCATCAGATCTATTCTCAGTACATTTATTTAATTATTGAATAATTAATTTATAATGAATTGTTTTTACACTGATAAGAAGCTATTCCAATTTACATATATATAGACAATGACGAAATAAGCATTGAAATGTTATATTAAAACCTTCGAGAAAATTGTCTTCGTTAAGAATAGACAATTAAAATACACTATTGATTAAGTATATAAAACTACTTTATTCATGAATCAATTTTTTCATTCTACTAATATTATAAATGCGAAAGTTTGTGAGAATGTATGGATGTCTGGATATATAGATGTATCATATTGTGTGGATGGTTTTTACTATTTTACGCAAAAACTACTAAATGGATTTCAATGAACCTTTACAATAATATAGCTCATACATCAGAATAACACATAGGCTACTTTTTATACGGGAAAAATATACGTTTCCCGTGTGGTACCTACATTTGTTTTTGTTTTTCTTTCGAGCGAAGTGAGGGTGAGATGCTAGTATATCATAATAAAATAGATTATTAAATTACCATAATTGTAATAAAAATAAAATGTACGTTTTATTCGTATTGAATAAAGACGTTCGTATAAGACGCTGCATACAAAGCTACGAAGCAAATTCGTATGTACAATTTATGTTTGTTTAGACTAGTAATTCCCAAAGTGATTCAGGTGGACCCCAAGGGTCCACGGGAAACTCGACAGCGAGAAATAAAAAGGGGGGTTCACTAGTTGTAAGTGGAGATCCACAAACATTTATCTGGTTTCGATAGTAAACAAAAATGTAGGCTTGGCTTTACCTATGAATGTATGCAGATAATATACTAGACTCAATAAAAAAAGTAAATGGTTGACCCTGCAGGCCCTGAAACTTCCCGCTACTTTCTGGTTGAAAACGTTCGAAAGTTCGACAGGCTGGATTTCGGTGAAAAATAGTCTACTGAGACTTTGAAAAGAACATTTTGAAGCTTTAAGATTCTAATTTTCAGATTTTTTTAGCAATTTTTTTAAGGAGTTACGGTTCTCATGCAATCCTAATACTCGTAGATAACGCAAAAAAATAATATTGCTAATTTTTGGTTTTATTTATTACAATTTTTTTAATTGTTAATTTGCATTGTTAAAGTTACGGTACTTTATTAATATTTAATTTTAATATTCTATTAAGTCTGTAATCATAACGTTTTAATAATTAAAACTACTATTTTTTTACTATAAGTTAAAAAATACTTTTTTTTACCACTCTGAATTTAGAGTAGGAACTCAGCCGTGACGCAAATTTCCATCGTTAGATTTTTAGTTAATCTTTAGTTGGTAATATCATGGTACAAATAGCATGAGGTCCACCGCAATCAGTAAAATTTTGAAGGTGGTCTACGAGAAAAAAAGTTTAAAAACCTCTGTCATGTCTGATCTCATAGATATATTTTTAATATGCCATAGCTATATATAGCTAACCATGGAATATTTAACAATACAAAACAATTGAAAGTGCAAAGGTCACATACATAAATGTAATTTATGAGTTTTAATAAATTCCACATTAAATATTTTTGTAACCTCAAAAGTTCCAAATTTATTGTCTGGTTATTAAAATATTATTCGCGAAGGGCTAACATTGAATGGGATTTTTTGTAAACCTAATAGTTTAAATTTAAAATAGAACTTTTAAATAAGTAATTAATGCTTGGTAAAATATCTACTAATGCTGTTCAGGCATTTGGGCTATTAGTACTTAATAAAAAAAGTATCCTTTTGAATATTCGTTACTGAAATTAGTTAATAGCAAGAACTAACTTTGCTAAACTTCATTTGTTTTCTTTAAAGTAAATCGCTTCATGAAGTCCTTAGTTTGTTTAAATAACGGACTTAAACAAGTAACCTATAACTAAACCAAAGTATCTAACCTCACTTTTGCTATTTTTGTTTAATATCTAAACTCCATTTCAATAAACATTTTATAAAAAAAAAATCCCTTTTTTTACAAAACTGTTGAAATATATGTTTTAATGTATTTATAGGTTACTAAGGTCTTCAATGTATTTATAGATATAATTGTTGCCATCCCGATAAGCTTGGTTTTACACTAAATGAGTAACCTATCAGATTTTCTATTAAATTTTTTAACTATTAGTAGGGAACTTTAAGATATTTTTATTTCCAGTTAATTTTATTATTCTATGTAACGAAAAAAATATCGTTACCCATTTGTGTAAACGCACAAATACACAAACTAAATAAATTAGATATTCGCTTTGTGAAGTGAGTGCTCGTCTTTTTAACGTCGGTCGGTCGGTTTGTCGGTTTAAGATTTTCAAGATATTTTTATGGGAATAGAACTCACATAAGCTAAGCTATATAATAATATATTTTCACATACGATGGATAACAAACTTGTTTTTATTTAGAAATCTAGCAGGATTGTACGTAAGTGGGCGCGGTCGTGACGTGAGGGTCGCAGATAAGAGATGGGTCAATGTCTTGGTGATTAATAGCGATCGGATAATACGCAATAAAAACATCTTGTTTCGACGTTTCGGTATACCAACGTTATTGGTGTACGATAACTGATAGCTGTTTATTTCTAACGTTCAATAAATAATTTTGGGACCGATTACGTCTTAATGCTATTATAATATCTAAGCTTTGGAAAGCGTAACTTACTATGAATAACATTCAATTTGTTTCTATCTTGAAATTTATGATAATTAGTTCTGTAAGTAAAATTTAAACGAATAATTTCACAAATTCACGTATAGGTCTTAGCAGACTTTAAAATTGCTTTATAAGAAGTTTTGTACGGAGATAGCTAAAATTAGAAGAGCCGCATCGTAATTGGATTTTTTTATTGTCTTACTAGAATAAATTAAGTAAAATATATTTTTTTATAATCATGGTAGTCCAGTGGTAACGTGTTCGCTTGGGAAACCGAGTGAAGCGGGTTTAAAATCTCGGGTATCGTACCTATTATAATTTATTTATTTGTGCAATATTTTCATGTGTGAATTATTTCCAACATGATTACCACTTGTTTTACGGTGCAGGTAAGCATCCCAAGGAAACCAGCGTGACAACCTAGCTAGTTTTCGAAAGAAATCTACAGTCCGCCAACACGCAATGATTTCGAAAGACATGTGAAACCCGCCAACCCGCACTTGACCAGCGTGGTGGACTATGGCCTGAATCCCCTCGTATTAAGGGGTGGCCCGTGCCCAGCAGTGGGACTTTAATAAAAGTGTTATTCAGCCCTTAACATAATAGGTTCATTGTCATAATAGGTAATTCAATCATTTTGAACGTTTTAAGTAATTAAAAATACAAAATCTAATCTATCAAAATCTATCATTCGTATGATGACTACAAAGTAACATGTGCTCAACAGACACGCTGTATGATAGTAATATATTTTAAAATAACAAAATGATGTTATAACAAAAATAACAAAAAATAGATACTTTTGCAATTTAAAGCTCATTACTTTAACTTCAATAACTAATTATTATAATTAACCAATCATACAAGACTAAATGCACAAAAGTTAACAAATATCTAAGGAATTGTATATTTTTAAAATTTGTAGGATATTTTTAACGTATACTGGTCATAGAGGGTTTAATTTATTACCATTTTTATATAACTTGATACCTATTATGGAAAAACAGTGCTGTTATGCAAAAAAAAAGGAATCATTTTTGAAAATATGTCTTGTTTTGTGTTATCCCCCCGTTTGTTGCGCCTGCTTATTAAGCATGCGAACTGTCAATGCCGGCTCTGTGTCGCCTGCTTATTAAGCACGATTCTATTTCTACCGCCATACGACTCATTTTACTATAATTAAAGCCATAGACTATTCCTATTCTGCTCTCACTTGCACAAAATGTACTTAAAGAAATAAGGATAGCATGAGACCTTAGACGACGTTTATAAAATACACCTATATCGAGATATAATCGGCCAAAGTCGGCCCCTCAGTTCCGTTCATAGAGTATATTGCTACATATATAATTCCGTTGAAACGCTCGACTGCGCACGACCCGTGCGCATTGTTCGCGAGTGCTTTGTGTAAATGTGTATTGTGTAGTGAAGTGAAAGTGATCATAAAATGGATTTACATTATGACTGGGTAAGTAATGAACAGCTTTAATTGCTTTTAAAGGACAGTTGAATAAGATTTTGTATAGAAATTTGTTATTTTAACAAACATCGCCGCCATTTTGCCAGGCAAAATGGCGTCATTCTCGTCGATATTTTTGTTAACTTTATTATAAACATTGTATATTTACGTTTTATATAATATATTATATTCGTAGCCTATTACTGTTATTATTTCTACTAAGCATTTAATTTAAAAACAAATTTAAAAAAAATTCGTATTATTGACATAAAAAAATAGGTACCTACCGTGCTTTAAAAGATGGCTACACAGACGGGGTATTTAATTTGTTTATATTAGAAATATTTGACTAGTGAAGCCTATCTTTTTATTGCGCTTAACGATTTGTTATTATAATCATATTTTAGAATATTAATTAGTGTTTAAAATAAATGCAAAGAATTTATAAATAATTGCAGTAATTTGAGAGGCCTTTTTCTTATCTCTAAATCTCAAATGCTTTGTTTATAGCTTGAGTTATCGTAAACTAAACACTTCAAACGCTTGAAGCTCCGTATTTTACAAGTACGTGCTCCATATTATATAAAAAGTTATTAGCCTAAGCCACTTGAGCTACATTGTTTTCGGTATTGAAGGGTAGTTGTGATTTTTTTTTGCGCGCGTGCGGGTGAAAACAAAAGGGTTAAATTTTGTAAAGCTTGCGCGATGAAAAATATATATGAAGAGATGTGTTCTTTTTATTTATTAATGTAAGATAATATAGTTATTGATAAATTAAGGGAACTAAAATTTGAAATAATGCTTCTATTTACCAAATAATTTATTGTATTAATATTTTGAAGGTCTATCGGTTACCACTATCTACCTATCTGTTTTTTAGATTTTACTTTTTCCATGCCGATTGCACAATGTGGTCTTAGCGGTCTAACGTGATATCGTGTCCTACAAAACGTTTCTACCAGCGACCGCAATTTTGTGGTGATGGATGGTGTAGAAAGTAACTTAGGCACAACATTGTGTATCACACACTTGACTAAAAACATTTTGGTATTCATATGGGTCATTAGTTTAGTGGCTAGCATATACGCTGCCTAAACTAGAGGTCCTGGGTTCGAATCCCATGTCAGGCTAAGTATAGTTATTGATTTTTCTATTAACAAATTCTTAGTAAAGCCCGGAGGTGAGTTTGTGAATCTAGTGGCATGTACGTCGTACGACTGCAGATCAAGAGGTCTAGGTTTGAGTCCCGGGTCGGACCTAAATAGTACCTGGCCGCCTGATCGTACTTTAAGAAAAAAGAAAGGAGAGTGTAGAGTGTACTTGGATCTGGGTACACACTTGTACACTATATTATCTCCTGCTCAGATAGCTAGTCTCACTGAGCGATCAAGATGTCATTATTATAAAAGTTAGTTAAAAATAAAAACGTTATAAAAAAACGTAGCATAATTCTGGTGAATAATGAGTCATATACATATTTTGAGTCCTCCATATCTCAACAGAAGTCCGATATAAATTTCAAGAAAAAGACCGCCCCTAAGAGTAAAGTTTGAAGTGAGTACAATAATTGCTTTTAAAGTGATTTAAAAGTTGGTGTACTTTTTCTGATGAAATAAATATGAATTTTAATAAATTAAAACGAATACATTAAGAAAAATATTAAATACTAGCAAAACCCGCGGCTTTGCTCGCGCTAAAACTATAAAAAAAACTCGAAAAAGGTAGGTTTCATACAAACTTTTATACCCTATTTTACCCACTTGTGGGACGAATTTCGAAAAATCCTAAAACACGTGTTTATTTAATTGTATTGAATAGCATTAATACCAAGTTTCAAGTAATTCTGATTATGAATAATTTTAGCATTGTATTATAACGTGTTTTCCCGTAAGAATGAGATAATCTTCTGCGGTAAAAAGTAGTCTATGTCCCTCTCCAGACCTCCAACTATATCCACACAAAAAATCACGCCAATCTCTGCTTCGACGTGAAAGAAGGACTAACAAACACACACACACTTACACATTAATAATATTAGTATGGACTAGTGACTTACACACGCTTCGCACATCTTTTCTCAAACGATCATGTTTGACTGATTTTATTTCTAAAAGTTTATGGCTTCTTCCAGATTATCGTATGACTGTGTACTAAATTTGACCAAAATCAATCCAGTTTTATTGTGAAAGAGTAAGAAACATACATATACATTATACATACATACAAAACAAACATACAACTTTCGCATTTATAATAGTAGTGTGCAAATCATACAAATAAATTAGAAATAAAACTTAATTTATTTAAAAAGGCGTCCTTTTATTATGAGAAATTGAAGACGTGATTTTCTTCAAAGTAGGCACTATCATATGGACTTGACACGTCACACTACGCTACATCAGTATTTAGTGGTGTAATATAAAAGAATGTATCATTTATTAAAAAAAATACAACACAAAGAAATACTTATTCTGGATTTTAATAAAAGTTTTTGTTTACAACAAAAACTGAATGTTTTGGCAGTCAAAATTGAATCTAGGAAGTTAAAGGAGTCCTCCAAGAAAGTAGCGTGGAGCGGCCGCTGAACTGGATAATATTAAATTAAAACTTTATAATTTCTCGCGAACCGTTAGCAATATTTTCTGTTTACATCGCGCAATCACAATTTACAATTTAGGCATAATGTTCAACAGATGCCAATGATTGAGGACTTAGACCATTACCAAGCCGCGGCTGAATTTATAATCTTAATTTTTGAACTTTCCTTCATAACTTTCATAATATTTCAAAGCACAAGTTAATTCAAGCTTTTGTTGTATTACAATTTATGAAACAATATTTATCTTTATATATAATATATAATAATATCATCTTTATATATAATAATATCATGTAATATTTTTTTATATGCTTTAATCCGTATCCATACCTAATATTATAAATGTGAAAATGTGTTTGTTTGTTTGTCTGTCCTTTTTCACGTCGAAAGGAAGTGACAGACTGGCGTGATTTTTTGTGTGGAGATAGTTCAAGAGCTCGAGAGTAACGTAAGCTATTTTTTTTGGCTTGGAAGATTATTTCATTACTTGAAACTTGGTATTAATGCTCTTCAATACAATTAAATAAATACGTGTATTAGCATTTTTCTTTAATTTAGGATGAAAGTTTTTAACTTTTTAAATTATCGCGTTCCATAATTTAGTATAATATTATATGTATTCATTATATAATTATTATTTGTTCCATAATAATATAATTATTATTATATAAGTATGAAAGTTTGTATGAAATCTACCTTTTTTGATTTTTTTTCTCTTCAGGTTCTGCTAGTAATATTATAAACAAGAAAACAAAAGCATTCCAAACGTCAAGAACTAAAAATCAACATACCTAAATCCGAGAAAACCTGAAAGATCAAATATTTACTTAACACCTAAAAAATTATTATACATAGGAAATGATTTATTTATTTGTTTATAATCGATAAACTCTGAAACTACTGAACCGATTTTAATGTTTCTTGGTCGAAAATAACACCCTATATTTTATCTCAGTAATAATAAATTAATAGCCTGAAATATTAACAATTCTTTATATTTCCTAAAAAATATTGCAAATATTGAAGAAAAAGTAACAAAATTGAGAACTCGATGGAACTAGCCCAAGTGGTGATGGTAATGAAAGCAAGACGTATTGGAAATCGAGACAAAATTTCAGTTCAAACTCGTGCGATATTGTCGGAGGTAGGAACCTCGTTAGTACCACAAAAGAAGGCCTCAAAGACTAAAAGTCAATACAGTTTTGAAGACTTTCATTGTGTAACCGTACAAAGAGTACAAAGGCAAATTAATCACCTGGACGGACAATCGATCGCTGTTATTGTTAGAGCACAATCATCTAAGAAGAAAGAATATGAATTCCTGATTCTTTAGAAAGATACTTTTTTATAACTTTTTTTTATTGCTTTGACTCCTATATGCAATAATTTGACCTACAATTTTAGTAGATTTTTTTTGTAATAAAACTTCTTTACACACGCTTAACTTGGGGAGTAAGCTAGTGAATACGTAACGAGAACGTTACGAAAAGTGTGATCGGGCGAGGCGAACGTTTGTTGCCATGGTAACCGTTGCTATTGTCTGACAAATGGTATGTAATATTACATTCTTTCCTTAAATGATATTCTATAAATATATAATTATAATATGCCTAATATGCGTTATTTAATTATTTTTATTAAAATTTATCCTTCCTTTTACAAACAGAGAGTTGTGACATACGTGATGAAATCTTTAGCTATTTTTGTTCTGTTACGCCAAAGAAGTATAACTTCTTACGTGCGTTCTTAAGTACACACTAACGTTTTTTATTAATAATTTTATAAAAATTATTGCGATATCTGCCATAGCACCAATGAAGTTTTACTTCAACCGCGCGTACCTAAAAGTTACACGCGTTCAATTTTTTCATTTATATTAAACCCGTCATCACATTCTTTATTCATTTTAATCATATACATTTCATACAAATCAATCCGAATCCCACTTATATTATGCGAAAGTTTATGAGGATGTATAGATGTACGGATGTTTGTTACTCTTTTATGCAAAAACTACTGAATGGATTTTAATGAAACTTTAAAAAATTATAGGTCATATATCAAAAGAATACATAGCCTACTTATTATCCCGGAAAGTTATACGATTCCCGTGGAATAGATTTGTTTTTGTGTGTTAAGTAAATGAATATTTTTAAAATGTTTTTAAATCAGTCTACTTTAACTAATAGTAGAAATATGTGATTATCTAATATATAAAAATCTCGTGTCACGGTGTTTAACTATCGCACTCTTCTGAAACGGCTCGACCGATTTTAATAATATATTTTTTTGTATATTTGGTAGGTATGAGAATAGGTTTTTGTGTAGCCGCAGGTTCTGCTAGTAGTATAATAATATTATACTCTGTACATATAGACAGCCTTGACAAAATAATTTGTTTTGTTTAGTTATAGATAGCATAAAATATAGTCTGCTCTGAAAGATATATTTGTTTACCAAAATACTTTTGAATTTTTCTCGTGACCCAAATTGTTGGCTATATTTTGTCGGGCAGTGCTAAGCCATTTTTAATGTTATCCACCCATGGAGCCATAGCTCGCTTTTATATGTATATCGCTGTTTGCAAAATATGTTGCCTTCGTACTTGACCTCTATGCGCAAAATAGTTATTTTATTGCAAATGTTCCAGTAAAAAAAGCTGGCTTCTGTATAGAGGACGTTCGTATCCAGAAACAGGACATTAAGGGTATTAAATTATTATTGATTGTTATTTAAGTTAACATAAGAAAATAAGATGAAAATTACCATTTCCTCCAGCATTTTATTTTTGGTGATTGTAGATAAATTAAAGCAAACTAGTACTTATAGGAAAGAATTACTATAGCATAAAGAGAGATAGATATACGTCAATAGACGAAATTCTATGAAAGTTCGAAATCGTGAAGATTCTTTCATGTTTTAAAATTATTAATATAATATTTTGAATATATTAATACCTTTATTAACTCAGTATATATATGGCTACTTATTTACTACTGGCTGCTCTAAAACAATAACAAACCTATCCCACAGGAACCGTACATTTTTCCAGGATAAATAGCCTATGTACTATTCCAGACTATAATCTATCTCTGTGCCAAATTTCATCCAGATCTGCTCAGCCGTTCTAGCGTGAAAGAGTCACAAGCATCCATACTCACATACTTTCACGTTTATAATCTTTTTATATAAATAAAAATGAATGTTGGTAAGCGCATAACTCAAGAATGGCTAGACCAATTCGGCAATTTTTTTGTCGTATGTTCCTTAAGGTCAACGGAAGGTTTTAATAAATAGAGACAATGAAAAATTAACGAAAAAAAATATATATGGCTAACGCTGTCTAATAACTATTTATATCTATTTAAAACGTACCTAGCGATGAACCCGAGCAAAGCGAGGGTGAGCCGCTAGTATTAAATAATGATGTTCTCCTGACCGATTCCGGCCACGGCGGCCAATCTTATTGAGACTAGCCAGCTGTGCAGGAGATATTATAGTGCACAAGTGTACGCGCAGACACAAGTGCACTCTCTATTCCTGTCACTCTCATACTCCGGTGGGACGACCACTCGACACGACCAGTGAGAGTTAAGGCGCAGGACCGACGGCTTTACGTGCTCTCCGAGGCACGGGGGTGAAACACCGCCAACTTCCCAACTCCAGGCTGTTACTGAGGCTTACTATACAGAGAGACTCAATAACTAAATTTGGCCCGACCCGGGACTTGAACCCAGGACCTCCGATGTGCAGCCGTACATGCTAGCCACTACACCACCGAGGCAGTTATTAAATAATAATACGGAATAAAAAAACATTATATAATATTATTTTAAAACATTTTTATTTGGGTTCATGTTTAGTTCTATAACTCTCTATCTATATCCTTAGTGTATTCAGCCCTTTTTATCGTCCCACTGCTGGGCACGGGCCTCCCTTCAGTACGAGGGGAATCAGGCCATAGTCCACCACGCTGGCCAAGTGCGGGTTGGCGGACTTCACATGTCTTTAGAAAACTTGCTAAGTTCTCTCAGACATGCAGATTTCCTCACGATGTTTTCCTTCACCGTAAGGCAAGTGGTAATCATGTTAGAAATGATTCGCACATGAAAATATCAGAGGTGCGAGACCCGGGATTTGAACCCGCTTCACTCGGTTTCTCAAGCGAGCGCGTTACCACTGGGCTACCACTGCCTAATATCGTATATATATCCTTAGTCTGACTTTCAAACGAAGATATTGAACTTTTAGAATAGCAATTAAATATTTCACCGATAAACTTTGAAAAGGTATTTAAAAGAAAAATAGCATTGACAAAAAACTTGAATTTTATTAAATTAATTCACCAACTTTGCCGTCCCAGTTTTTCTTTTCGTAACAAGTTTTTTTTTTAATTAGTTAGAGTTCTTTTATGAAGAGGTGCGCCTTTTTAATTGTTACCGTATTTATTGAGGGCAGTTTCAAAACTTGTTGATCTTCGATTTTGCCCTTTTTAATAATGAAAGCTTATTGTTTTTGAATTTTTATTAAAATTTCAGAATTTCCATTTTATTAAGAGCTATTTCTGTACGAAGTGCCTACTTGATGAAGATTGTGATGAGTGAAGTGTTTGACAACCCTTTTGGATACAGCGTGCTTTACAGGACGAGCAAATCCTAAAGGGGAAAATGTCTCGTGTTCGATTTCTGCTTGGTGAATGTATCATTGTATTTATTTCTATGTGTGACTCACACACATCCCCATTTACTACCCGTACTAGGTACTTTCAGTGTACGACATTACACTTATGGACAATAATTATTATTGTTCAAACACTAGCTTTGGTTTATGTCATAGGGGCGTCAAGGGTAAAAAACATTATATCTATACATATAATAAAATTGTAACTAAGCCGAGTCTGTACATTAAATATTTTTTGGAAAATCTTATTGATATAGACACTATTATTGATATAGAGACCGAATCTATAGTTTTTGGAATATTTGTCTGTCTGTTACCGCATCACGGAAAAACCACTGGAAGGTCACTTTTTACCGCAGGATAATATTTCATTTCTGAGAAAAGAAATACAAAAACTGCATTGTAAGAGTATACTAATATGTAAAACCTAAGAATTTGGTTTTTGGTAATCTGTACGCGAGCGGGGCCGCGGGCAATGCTAGTATAAATAATAATATCCTCAGAACAAAGCTTATAACAGTATAATTTCAATTACCGATTTTCCATTGAATAAAGAATTTTCCGTATTAAATGTTGCTGGCGTGATTTTAGCCTACCAGCAGTGTTCATGGTCTGCTAAACCATAGCAGCGGAAATTATGAGTTCATGATAATAATATAAAGTTATAAATGGACGTATTTTATAAATAAATGACTTTTACCCGCAGTTCCGCGTGTGTAGTTTGTTTGTGTATACTCTGCGCCATACAAAAAATAATATTTAAAATAGAACTGGTAGTTTCAAAGATTAATTACTTCATACAAATAAAAGATGAACTCTTCAGTTTTATATAATATTGTTATAGATGTATATAGCTATTACTATATATTTTTCTATAGTCATCCAAATGTTTTTTTTTATTTTAGTCTAAAATTTTAGTTTAAAATTGTGTAATATTAGACCAACAAAAAAAATATAACTGCTTACATGTGATATATCTTTTAAAAATATTATCTTCAGTAAAGCTCCAGTTAGAGAATTGTAAGAATTTTAATTTTAGAGGAATTAAACGAATTCATAGGGGTTATGGTAGGTAAAACATGGAACCCCCCCAACGTGCGTTCACCTTGTCGTGGTGGGGGGGGGGCTCAGTAGTGCCCGGCAACCCAACCGGGTAAGAAACGCACAGGGAGGTGGCCCACTTCGGTGGGTGGTGAGAGGTGGCCCTCTTCGGTGGGCGGTGTACCATGCGGGTTGCTCCTGGTACTTCTCTGATAGCAGAGTGGACCTTGGAGCAATCCCATGGTTGTGGTGGTCTGCTTCGGCAGACCTGCCGTCGGGGCGTCGTAGTACGCATTCACGTAAGGGATCCTGCGACGCCCCATTAAGACGGGGGAAGGTTTTGTTGGGTTTTAGTGGGTAGTACCTACTGGCTTTGCCGGTGAGTCCCATACCTCGTGCGTAAATGCATTTCTCAACGTTAAAAAAAAGTAAAACATGGAAAAACGCGAAAATTACTGCAATAAATTGTATTATTATAAAAAATTGCGTTCACTTGTCTGCTACTTTTATTTTTATTATATTTATTTACTTTGAATACATGAATACATACATACATATTTGAATGAGGCTTAATACAAATATCATAAACAATTTGTAAGAAGAAAATAG